TAGGAGAAACTCAGCCAAAGGTTTTTAACCTGAGTGTCAGCACAAAGCCAGAGCTGGCCCCAGAAAGGCAGAGTGGCAGCTGCGTGACAGGGGTGCCTGTATCCCGCTAACAGCATCCGACATTGGACAGGGCAAACACAGCATCGTACCCACAGCTCTGCCAGAGCTGAGCCTTGCGGGTGACACTTGTGACACAGCCCAGAGATTTAGCGCTGGACCTGCACCCATCCTGGACCTGCCTGTTGGCTGCCAACGCCCCTTACCCAGAAGTTTGGCCAAAAAAATAAGAAGGTCTGAGCCCAGCTGCTTCTATACCTGATCACTCACCTCACCCTGTCCCTCTGGGTCTCATTTAACAAGAAAATATGGGTGGGTGAAGATCACCTTTCTCCTGCGGTGCTGCCTTCCCGGGGAGGCTCCCGGGGACACCCCCCGGGCACCGATCCCACCACTGCTGTCCGCTCCATCCCATGAGGATATTCAGGACTTTGGTCCCTAAATAATCGCACAGAGCTAGTCGGTACCGTGGATCCCAGCAGTGACAAAAGCAACTGAGGCAGAAAGCAGAACAAGGAGAAAGGTGGGAGAGAGGCCGTGGGGATGGTGCTGTGCACGCTCGGCACGGATCCGCTCGGCTGCCACCGCGTCCTACCCTCACAGTAATTAGGGGAGCTAAAATAAACAGGGGTGGTTTCATCCCTGCAGGGATAATTCCTCCTCCCCGGGGTGGCGTGTGCCTGCAGGGCTGCCCCGGAGGTTGGGAATGAGGCAGCCAAAGCCAGCAGGTTGGAAATGGAAATTTCCCAGGAAGGGAGGAAATCGCTTCTTTCTGGGGCGTAACCAGCCCTCACCCTCCAACAACTTTATTTGCCGCTGTCATATCCCTAAATAGCTCCCCGAAGCAGCTGCTACATCTCCTTCACCTCTGCTCCCCTCCCAGCCTCCTGAAATGGGCTTTGGCAGCCCCGATTTCGAAAGCAATTCATCTCGAGCAAAGGGAAAACCTCCGGCCCCGTGCAGCCATCCCGCAGCCACTGCGGGGCCCCCGTGGCACTGCTGCCTACCCCAACACAGCCCCCGACCACGGGAAAGACTTCGGGGAGCGCAGAGCCCTGGGAAGGTTGGGTCTCAGATTGGGAGCAAAAGCCACGAGCCTCTGGTGGGTCTGGAGCCAAGGATGCGTTCGGGATCCTTTCGGAGAAGGGGTGATGTTGTGCCAGGAGGGCAGCGGTTCCCTGGGTGCAGTGGGGCTGCCAACCCACTCCAGTGACCCAGAGGTTGGTACCCCCAATTCCAACCTGTTTGCCATTCCTGCCCGGGGCTGGGGATGGATTGGGAGAGCGCACGAGGTATGAGAAGATGCTCCTGGGAGAGCAAGTGGCGAGGGGAGGGTACACGCAGGGGCCGATGCTTGTGCGCAGCCGAAGCGCTGAAGTCAGCACTCTCCGGAGCCATCTGTTCCCAGCAAAGCCCCGGCGCAGACGGACTCTCCCAGGCTCCCGGCAGAGGATGCCGCAATTCGGTGATTCGCACAGCGAGGGGCTGGGGACGGCGTAAAGCCGGACACCGCCTCTGCGGCCGCACTAACTCTGGGGATGGGGTTGGAAAATTATATATTAGCCACGCTGCCGAAAAGCTTTTTCAACCATTTGTCTGATTGTGTGAGCTGACTTTTAAATGGCAGCACAGCTCTTCGCTGCCGGGCCAGAGACCTGACTAAAGTTGGTTTTCCCCTTATTCCGGAGCACAGGTAACCTCCCGCTTTGCGGGCTCTAAATGCTCATTTGAAAAGGCCAAGTTCAGTAAGCAGCCTATTAGCAAAGCCAGCGAGAGCCTCTGCGCTTGTCTCCCAGGTGTAAATTCAAAATGCAGCATCAACAGGAGCTTCTGGAGTACCTTAGACCTGTTTCTTCCCCGGATTGCTCCAAGCTGCCCGGCAGCCCACGCCAGGCAGGAGCCCCAGGGCAGAGCAGAGCTCCCCTGCACAGCTCTACGGACCGGGGAAACTGAGGCACAGCAGTGCAAAGCAACAGCAGGAGGTCACAAAGACCCAACTGTACGGCATTTACTCTGTGCCATCACCCCACACTGTGACGGGCTCTCTCCCAGCTCGGCCGCCTTTGGGAACGGCGCATAAGACACCGAGGAGAGCTGCAGGAAGGGAACCGCTCAGCCTTGCCCGGCTGGTCTCAAAGCCATTCCTCACCAGATGCTGATCTCCACCAGCTTTGTGCAGTCTCATTAAAACTAAGCTGAGCCATAACTCATCGGAGCAGGGAAGTCCACATTAAGAGCTGGCAGCAACGACTTTCAGTTTTTCAGGCCTCCTTCCAACAGCAGACGGGTGTCACTCACAGCATCGCCTTTCCGGCTCCTTACCTACCGTGGAAAATGGTTTTGGAGCTGCTCCAGAGAGCAGAGAGCGAGGGGGTGGCTGCCCAGCGAGGCTGCCCCCACTTTGCCCCTCAGACCGCCGCGGTGGGGACATACCTGGAGCAAACACAAAGTTAATCATGCCTAAAAGCAGCCCCTGGATGTGAACAGGAGGCTGCGAGGGACCCTCAGCCTGCCCAGAGCCCAGGCAAGCAACCGGGGCTTTGTGGGCAACAAGAGACCCGGGACACCCCCCGCCCCCAGTCCCGGGGGTGCCACGTCACCCCTCTATCCCCTCTCAGCCCCTCTCTGCTCCCCGTTACCGGCCTCCCAGCGCCACCTAACGACACGGCGACCGGGGATAAGGACCTTCACGGGGAAGCCGGACACATCCCAGTCCCCATAGAGAAGGATGGAGAGCACCGACAGGGATGGGGAGGCAGGAGGCGGGGGGGACACCCGGCTGGGGCTTGGGGACGCCGGCAGCAGAGGAAGGGGCAGCTGGAGGTACTGAATAAGGATTTACATAAACGTAATGATCCTTCCTCTGCCCGTAAGGCTCAGTCCTCCATCCCTGCCCTTCGCTGACCTTGATCATCCCCCAGCTTTCCCACAGCCCAGCATTAACCCCAGGGCCTTGGCCAAGTTCTGGGTTGAGCAAGGACACCGGGCTCAGCAAAGAAAGACGCTCCCCTTAATCTGTTGTCACAGCCCCAAAACTACGCTGAAGCATCACTGGTTTGGGAACAGCCCTTTGCCGTGCTCAGCGCAAGCACCGTGGCCTTATCATGGCTACAAAAGCACCCAGACATCGACGTTCGAGGTGATGTAGAAGAAAAGCCTGGGGAAGAGCCGGCCCATCGCTTCCCGATACCTGCAGATGTGATGCAGCCACAACAACCCCTTCACCGTCACATTTCTGGCTGGACTATCTCCAAAAATGGCTACTCCCCGCCCAGAGCGCAACCCTCTCGCCTCCACACCCCCCTTTTCTGAAGCGCTTATTCGCCTCCAAACCCAGAGCTGATGTAATCTCCCGCTCAAGAATTCAGCATTAGGTCTGCATCAGCCTTGAGACGTAACAAGAGCCACATCACACAAGCAGCTGTTCGATAAAAGCTTTATTGCTCGTTTGCGTACGAGTTCCCAGTATCACATTTCCTGAGTTTCTTAATGAGCCTGCAAATGAGATTTAAATAGAAAAGGAAAGGGGAAAAAAAGAAAAAAAAAATTAAAAGAGAAACCACAGATCTTCATTCCCTAAGGTGGGAGTACAGTGCCTGGTGGGCAAACCTTCTACCATGGGAGAGGGCTCGGCAGAGATAATGGTGGAGCGTGGACCTCAACAAACCCCCACCGGCTGCCCTGGATCGATTTACCTACCCTCCGCCTCCATCACGGAGCCTAATTTGTTTCTAACACACAGCCACCAGCAACTGCCATTGTCACCATTTACACAGGTCGGAGAGGAGCGGCTGCAATCGTGCAGCGCAGGGGTCAGGGACAGCGTGGGTGGCAGGAGGGCCAGGGGAGGGGGCGACGCTGACGTGGCCCCTGTGCCATGGATAAAGAGGAGATTACGGCTCACAGCTTGTAATCTGGCTTAAAAACTGACACACCGTCACCGTAGTCAATTTGGGCTACGAGAAGCACTTAATGAGCTTCAAAACACACAGGCCAAAAAAAAAAAACAAAACCAAAACAAGCCCAAAACCCACCAGTGAAGGAAGTGAAAGGGCTCAAGGCATTGCTTGCACCAGTCAGCGCTGGCAGGTACCAAGGAACACAGCATCCCTCGGGATCCTGAACGAGGCATTTACACGCTTGTTATCCCAATCCACCCCGCGAGTCAGAACCCAGGCTCTGAGAGGGTTTAATCGTGGGAGGCAGAAAGCAAATTAATGCCCTCATCTGTTTGTTTAGAGCTCACGACAAGCGGAGAGCAAACGGTCCCTCCCTGCACGAGAGGAGCTGCTTTGCCTTGGGCCGTGTTGCAGGAGCCGCGGCGCTCGGGCGGCTGCTCCAAGATTAAGGCGGTCACAGACAAAGAAGCCAGACTCAAGCGACGGATCCAATTTGGCTTCCCTGGAAGGGTTTATTTAAAAAACAATTATTATTAAAAGAAGCTTGCTCGGGCACGAATGACAAGGCAAGGGAGCCATTTGGCTTGAGGTGTAAAAGGGAGGCAGCAAGACACAAGGAAGTTTATGCAACTTGCCGTGGGGGGAAGTGTCTGGCCAGGACTCCTGCGAGGTGCACATCTTCCCTCACCCGCGCCAGCCAATTCGTTAATGCTCGCAGGACCCA